AAACAGGGTAAAAATTTACAGTCTAGTGTAATTTTCCTGAAATTTTTATCGATTGAGAAAGTGCATAGGATTTATGCAGCAATTTTTTTAATTTTAAGAATGTTCTCAATAATATTATACATTGTTTATTTAAAATTAAATAGGATATGCCCTTGCGCCGACGTGATTTTGTCGATGTGATTTATTACCTTGAATGGGAGAGAACAATGACGTCATAATATGACGTAATAATGTGCACTTGTAATAATAAACTGGGTACTAAGTACATAATTATAAGAAAATCAATTTAAACTTTCTCTGTACATTAAATATACAACTTATGAATTTTTATTTGCTACGAAAGCCAGATAGGCTCATTTCTGAAAAGATAAAAAAAATATTAACTCGTTATAACGAGTTAATTATCTCGTTATAACGACTTAGTTATCTCATTATAATGAGTTAGTATCTCGTTATAACGGTTAATTATCTCATTATATTATATAACTTTGTGAAATACGGTAATCTGGTTGGTCAATACGAAGTACTTATTTTTTAATAATGACCGCTGAAAGCGAATAATGACTCGCACGAGCTGCCTCGTTTTCACTTTCGCTTTAGAAAAACATGGAAGTTCGCAAGTTGTAGGTGAGGAAAAGTTAAAAGATATAGTGAAGAAATCTGAGGCTGATAATACAAAACAATTACAAGGATATCTGTGAATATTTTTTGGGAATTATTAACACATACCATTCCATGGTTGAGTTCGACTTTTCCACTCGGCGAGCAGAGTTTTGACACTTAATATAACGCGATTATGGAGACAAAAGAAAATAAAGACAAGCTTGCCATGTAAGACTGTATCTTATCTTAGAAGACATAGGTATTTATGTTTTGTCAGTGCATTTCCTCTGCAAGTGTAAACGAGTGCAATTCTCAATCTGGGGGAAGGGGTACTCTGTATTATTCGGAGATAGATATCTTGCGTTATTATAATGATATGGATTAAAATTCATTACCGAAACAATTTCCCCTGAGTAATATTCAATGAATTGTGAAACATTTACATTCAACTTATTTATGGTTAATACTATCTCTGTAAACATTAGGAAGATATACATTGTACTAGATAGAATGTTCTATCGTTAAAATGATATTGTCCTACGGACCCGGTTTAACGATAGAATTTGTTCCGTGTATTCGTAATGTAGCAGAAAGAAACACGGGCGATAACTCGCATAGTGCATTTACTTGGAACAATCTAGAGAGTTCCGAATGTAAACATGGCCGGTAATTTGAATCGCGAGAAAAACGTTGAGAAAATTAATTGGATTTTTGTATTTCTATGGATTATTTTTTGGGATAAAAGGCATAAGCAATCTCAAGAAGGTTTGTTTTGATTATTTTGGTAGTTATTCCCAGTGCAAATCATTTTATATTCTTCAAAATCGTTTCGGAGCGGATCCGCTCCGATTTGCTACATTACAAGTATATGGGACGTATTCTAACTGTGGTGAGGGCCTGTACCGAGACACAGTTAGATTACTCTAACTAACATTGTACTAATAAATTTGGGAAATTATTATTTATATAATATAATAAATATGGACTCAATGTAGGTCAATATGCATTTATAATGACCCTGAATGACAGATAAAGTTTGATAAGTATAGCAATCTTTATTTACACATTTATATGAGAACGTCTCCAAGGACACAATATAAAAAAGAAATCTATTACCAAATGTACTTGGTTCAAAGTTTGGCAATTTATTTATGACAACTTTCTCCGATAAAAGACACTAATTTTTCTGATATGTTTTGGATGACTTATTAGCTTTCATAACCAATGTCTTAGTACCTAAATTAATACATTATAATAGGAAGCTAACACCGACGTTAATGCAACATATATTATATGCACTTCCAGTGTGATATATATATATACGGTAATTTGAATCGCGAGAAAAACGTTGAGAAAATTAATTGGATTTTTGTATTTCTATGGATTATTTCTTGGGATAAAAGGCATAAGCAATCTCAAGAAGGTTTGTTTTGATTATTTTGGTAGTTATTCCCAGTGCAAATCATTTTATATTCTTCAAAATCGTTTCGGAGCGGATCCGCTCCGATTTGCTACATTACAAGTATATGGGACGTATTCTAACTGTGGTGAGGGCCTGTACCGAGACACAGTTAGATTATTCTAACTAACATTGTACTAATAAATTTGGGAAATTATTATTTATATAATATAATAAATATGGACTCAATGTAGGTCAATATGCATTTATAATGAGCGCCCTCGGTCGATATACTACATGTATCTTAGGTCAATATCTGTCATTCAGGGTCATTATAAATGCATATTGACCTACATTGAGTCCATATTTGTATAATAACGACTTAGTTTTATCTCGTTATAACGAAATAATTAACTCGTTATAACGAGTTAGTATCTCATTATAACAAGTTAATGAACTTGTTATAACGAATAAGTTATCTCGTTATAACGAGTTAATTATCTTGTTATAAAGAATTAATTATCTCGTTATAACGAGTTAGTTTTCTTGTTATAACGACTTAGTTATCTCGTTATTACGAGTTAGTCATCTTGTTATAACGAATTAATTATCTTGTTATAACAAATTAATTATGTCGTTATAAAAACGAGTTAATTATCTCGTTATAACGAGTTAATTATCTCGTTATAACTAATCAATTATTTAGTTATAACGAGTTAGTTATCTCGTTATAACGAGTTAGATATCTCGTTATAACAAGTTAATTATCTCGTTATAACGAGTTAGTGATCTCGTTATAAAGAGTTAATTATCTCGTTATAACGAGTTCACTATCTCGTTATAAAGAGTTAATTATCTCATTATAACGAGTTAGTTTTGAATTAAAAATGGCAATAGTTTATATGCCATTGATGTTTAGTTGATAATTATCAGTCATACTTCACTTTAAAATTGATAAAAAGTTATAATTTTAATTATATAATAGTGCTGTGTTTTGCGTGCACTATGCCTAAATAGTCAGGGTTTGACACATGGTGCACGAGCCGGAGGCAAGTGCACTATGTGTCAAATCCTGACTACTATTTAGGCATAGTGCACACAAAACACAACACTATTGTTATTATTATGCTGACTGTTGTTTCTGTATTAAAATGGCAATATTTTCTTCATTCCCAATGTTTCATCACCTGTAACATTCGTCTACTCTATTATTACGTCACCTTATGCAACGTGTACGTCATAATCTGTTTACTTTAATTTTGAACGCTCCATGTTTTAGGTATAATCTACAGATAGTTTTAGAGAATATTATTTGAGTGAAGGAAGGGGGGTTGCAAGAAACTATTTTAGAAGATTTATTTTGTATATTTTTAATTTTAATTATAAAATATTTGAAACTGAGTTTATATATATTATAGTACAATACTATAGATAACGGCGTCTGTGGCGTAATCAGTAGCGTGTCAGACTGACAATCTCGGGGTCGTGAGTTTGCTCCCCGGGATGGGCGTTGTCGGATTTTCCTCAAAAATGGAAGCCGTGCACTATTTCGGCATAGTATGCTTACGCTATATAAATCCTTAGACCACTATGCGAGAATAGTCGGGTATGGGTTATATAGAGACAAACTGACAGGAAGCATAATAATTTGCGATATGGTTTAAATAATAATATTCCTGAACTGTCTTGCTGTCAGTAATCACAATTTGATAAGTATAGCAATCTTTATTTACACATTTATATGAGAACGTCTCCAAGGACACAATATAAAAAAGAAATCTATTACCAAATGTACTTGGTTCAAAGTTTGGCAATTTATTTATGACAACTTTCTCCGATAAAAGACACTAATTTTTCTGATATGTTTTGGATGACTTATTAGCTTTCATAACCAATGTCTTAGTACCTAAATTAATACATTATAATAGGAAGCTAACACCGACGTTAATGCAACATATATTATATGCACTTCCAGTGTGATATATATTATTTTGAGAGTCAGAAATGTCTTGAGGAAGGGCCAGGGATATGGAGACATCAGCAATGAGGCCATGGGCGTAAAATTCGGGGGATACTGCCCACTCATAACAACAAAATCAAGAGGCAGTCATATGTTTCCGTATACATGTACATGTACTTGTCTTCGGTCTTTAAGTATAAAATACAAATCAGCTGCATCGTTTATACATAAGCAGAATACAATCACATGCACAACCCTTGAAAAAAAAAAAAAAAAACTAGTTTGCTGTTTTTCTATAAAAATCTTTATCATACACACTATAAACAAACTTGATCAACTCAGTTTTATATTTAATACTACTATACTTCCTATCACTTAGATGTATCAATTTTAGATCAGTTTTTAACTCGTTATAATGTGAAAATTAACTCGTTATAACGAGATAACTAACTCGTTATTACGAGATAACTTAGTCATTATAATAAGATAACTAAGTTGTTATAACGAGAAAACTAACTCGTTATAACGAGATAACTAAGTCGTTACAACGAGTTAAATTTTTATTTTATCTTGTCAGAAATAAGCCTATCCGGCTTTCGTAATTAGCTCATTTGCATAGAAATATCCATATTCAGCCTTAACTCACTTGCGCAATGCTGTATATTGCTTCCTTCTGTGAAGACATTTTGATAATTTTAGCATGATAGCTTATCAAGATGAAGAATATTCTACTCAAATTAGAAGTATGAAATAATTTTACAGAGGTGGATACCAAGACCGAGGGGAAAGACGGGGAGGTTATCACCATGACAACTACAACAACAGAAGAGGTCATCAACAGGGTTACAGGGATTACCATGGTAACAGGGAAGATAATCGTGGATACAGAGACAGTTATAACCGAGACAGATCTGGTTATGGTGGTTATAACCAAGGTCGTTACCATGACAACAGAGGTTATGGAGGATATAGAGACAGAGATCAAAGATGAAAATATGATTCAAATGAATTCAAATTTAAGGATGTATTCTTATGATAATTTTACCCCAAGTGGGTCTTCGTACTTAGACATGTCGTAAAATTCAAACTGATAACAATTTACAAACAAGTTTTTAAAGTTTTTATGATTTATATACTTAACTATATTTATTGTTAAATCAGAAATCTTTCTATGCTGTATTAATGACCAACACGTGTGCAAAATTACGATATTTACGACATAGGCCTAAGAAAGTCGACAAGTGAAATCGACATGATGATGATCGAGAGGGGAACACTCAAGAAGACGGGATCGCCAGTTTCAAAGCGACAGGAATACCTTTCGGCAAAAAGAGCCAACCGACAGAAATTTTAAAACATTTAAAAAATTGCTGATATCACAATTAGGCCTACAGGTACATTCTCGAAAGCGGTCCCCAAACCATGCAAACATGCCAGCCAAGAGCGCCGAAGTGTGTTGACGACGTTCCAGTAGCAGTGGAAAAGCGAAAAATGTAAGTTTACAATGCTTTAAAACTTGAAAATAGCAATGTTTATGCATTATAGACACAAAGGTTTCAAAATACATAGTATACTGTCACACAAACATAGCATAAACAGATTAACATGTTATATGTACGGTAACGTTAGGCCTAAGGTCTCCAGAGGCGTGCAGACGACAACATTCGTATTGTCTTTTTTATTGCAACTTTAGCTCTCAGTATATGATAAATTACCTTTGATATTGTAAATGCAGAATCTCTATCCCAAATTTATAGACATACCGTAAGAATATAATAAGATAACATCTATATTTTAGCTGTTTACATTCGGTAAGAAACTAGGTCGCTTCATTCTATGGCGGCCTATGCAGGTAAAAATATGCAGTTTTTCTGAAACATCATGGAACATGTTGAAATTATTTGAGTCTAAACTACAGGCCTGGGTTCATAAAAACAAAGTCAGATAGACTAAATAATGATTTTACATTTTTTGAACAATGATATTACCAGTAAATTATAATCTAATTTTTTCTAAATTAATTTTTTTACAGGTAAGTCTTGTTTTCACAAGAATCACTAATGAAGGCCTTTAGAAGAGAGCAGGGTTTAAGATCCACTAAAAGCAGATGGAGAAAACCATGAAAATCAGATTGAGAAAGGGGGACTGGATTTGACTAATCACTGTGAAGCCAATATCCAACACCACAAACCTGGACCCAATCCGGAACCCCGCAGGGCAAGAGAAAGAGAGGACATCCAACAGATTATTATGAAATTTTATGTCTTAATTGATTACTTTTTGTTCTTAAAAATCTTTTCTTAACAAAATTGCAATTATTACCAGAAATTATCACTTTAATTCTGAATATTTGTTGAATAAAACTCGAACTTTGATGCCTAAATGCCTTTATTTATTTTCATTAAATGCTGAAAAAGAAACAGGGGGTGGGGATATAAAAAATATCAAAACTTTCTTATATGTACACTAACCCCTACTTTTCATGCTATGAAAAAGAGCAATAATACCTAAAGAAACTGTACAACAATTTTCTAAAAAAGTTTAATTGTAGAAATATGTTTTTCTTTGGTTTTTCGAGCAATTTTATAGGGAAAAATGTGCCTAATTTTGACATGGGTGAACAACATTTTTGGGTACAAGTTATCTAATTGGTATTTGTTTGCTCATATTTTGCTTTAAAAATCAACTTTACAATAATTTCAAGTAAATGTAAGCCAAATTAAGTTTTCATTCACTGTATTTATAAGTTTTATGAGGTACTGTATGGTCTACTAGCATTTTAAATGAAATTTCCCAAGCTCTATTTTGGCCTATGTTCAAAGGGTTGAATCTCTCTTAGATGAACACTAACATACACTTTTCTTGTCTTTAAATTATTCCTTGGATATTACACTTTCAGAAAAATGTAAGCATTTTGAAAGTTTAATGCACGTTTTTTACCGTGTATCATAAGAATACATCCTTAATGTTGATGCTTAAAAGGTGTATGTATATTAAAATTAATCATACTCATACATGCAGGTTCACTAAGATGATCAAAATATGCATAAATTTATGTGAAAGTCATTCAGATCTTTTTCTCAAGTTAAAGAGTATAGATCTGTTTCTGTTTTGTCATATCACAAGCCCTGTTGTTTAGGACTTATTAACATGAAATACATTGTATAATGACTTTTGATGTTGATTGATGTATTTGTTAAATTAAAGGATTGGAGTTAAAATGGAGCAAGGATAATAATTTGACATGGAAATACATTAACTGATAAAACTGCTAAAGCATCCTATTTGATTAAGTTAAGTTGAGGGATATTTCTAGAATTAAGACTACATGAGTAATATGATTTTCATCTAATTTTGTACGACTGAATAAAAGGCTTACATTCAAGTTTTTAAAAAAGAAAAAAATCACTTATATCATTTATATGTCTGTATCCATTTTAATTTTGCAATTAATTTTTAAAATGGCTTACCTAATTTGAGATACATGTACTTTATTTATTGATAGGTAAAGTTTGAATAAATAAAAATACGAAATATATGCATTTTTATGGACCTTTTTCTGGATGAGTGAAAAGGTTATTTTTTTATGCAGGTTTCATTTCCAAGTAACTATGAGTCCTATGTTGAGCGAACTTGCATGGATGATACTTCTAAGGATGCACAGTAATTGACTTGCTTCAAATGCTGAATTCGACATACCGGTACATTTTCCAGATAACGGACATAGCAAAATAGGAGCAAATCACACACGGACCTCTAAAACATCAGTGGTGGGATCGGGTGCCATGGAGGAGTGAGCATCCCCTGCCGAACGGGCGCACACACAGTGTGCTCCTTATCATGATCGGGTCTTTTGTTTTGAACTTGACTGCATTGATCTTTGATCATATTTATTGATAGGAAACACAGATACATGAAATTCATTGCAGGATATGCCTTTTTTCCAGAATGCTATGATCTCTGCTTATGGCAGTAGTTTACATATGTTGGATAAAGACTGTGCCCTAAGTGTGAGTTCATATGTCTTCTATCAGCTTCTAGAGGCAACCAGCATGCCACAAGCCAATTGGACAGTTTGTGATACATGTATGGTTGGATGTGCAAAACCAGGGAAAATGGAATCCTTGATAGTGTGCTGTTTGTCATTTTTGTGATGTGCATGTCACAGAGGCACTAACAGAGGGTTTTATTTGCCCAATATGCATTGAAAGATATGGCTGAAGTTGCTCATCTCATGTTGACATCTTATAGCGAACAATGACATAAGGGAACAGCTTTATATTTGCCTTTAGTTAACGTCTTGAAGAATGTGGAAATAGCGCAAAGTTTTCAATCTCCATAAAAGTCCATAAAACAATACAAAATAGGAGCAGAGCAAACACAGACGTCTAAAACATTAAAGGTGGGATCAGGTGCCATGGAGGAGTGAGCATCTCCTGTTGACTTGTCACACCCATCGTGTGCTTCTCGTCATGATCGAGCAATAACGGAAAATCTGTCGTAAATTTAGTGTATAAATAATAACTTAACTATTAGTATGAAAAACGCTAGTCAGCATTTGACTAGGATGATAAATTGTATTTGTTGACATGGTCATTCTATCGACCATAGAAAAAATAGGTTCTTACAAATGTAGCACTGTTCACAAATTGCCGAAAATGGTAAAAAGAATTATAGACTAAACTAAGATTTTTAACTATAGTATAAAGCAAAAATTGTCTGATAGAAAAACCAATGTTGCCCAGGAATTTCAAAAAATTGGTGAACGTACCCTTCAGCTTGCTTATTGAAACATGCTATACCTGAGTGATCTCCTTGCAATCATACTTGGTGTTTCCAGGTCTTATAGGCCTGGGATAATAATGAATGCAAAATATACAAAGACAATGGACATTTGCCTATTATTTAATTTTTCAATATACAGATATGTTATTGGCACTTGCCCCAGGGTCTATTATATTCACAATATCGGAAGATGCACCCTTTGTTATCATAACTATGTATTTCGTTTGTTTGCTTAAAACCAGGCAGCAGAGGACATTTTAAAAGCAATTAATTAATTTCATTTTATATTAATAAATAACCCCCTTCTGGATCCTCTGATCAAGGGATCATGAAATTCACACTAATTTTGATAGAAACCTTCTTTCTATTCATAGCTACATGTATGTACCTAGTCCAGCGCCTAAACGCCCAGAAGCAGAGAAGATTAAAAAAAAAATTAATGCATTTTCACTATATAATCATTAGAACCCGCCCGAAAGGCCATGGAATTCACAACTTTGGAAGAGGCACTCTTTCTCATCAAAACTAGTTTCTTAGTTCACCTGCTGAATCAATAGGAGCAGAGGAGAATATTTTTACGGAATTCATGCATTTCCAGTTTATAATCATTCCATCCCTTCTCTAGCGCCAAAACATCTGACCCTAGTGCCATGAATTTCACAATTTTGGAAGACAGCTTTGTTCTTTTTTACAATCATGCCGACATTTTGATTGCTTGATATCCAGGAGTAAAGACAAAGATTTTTAAAGATTGCAATGGTTTTAGCCCCACCCCTTAGGCCCCAAGGGTGCAGGGGGCTAAGAATTTCAAAATGTTTACTCCCCTCTATCCATAGATGCTTTATGACAAAATTTGTGAAAAATTTTCAAAGGTCTACGACCAAATGACGACGAATGACAACAGAAAAAAACCAGATAACAGTAGGTCACCTGAGTCACTTCTCGTTTGTCGTATTTTGTTCGCTGATTTTTCCATTTGGCACATTAACTGTACTGTGAAGGATGGTCGATATATAATGGTTGCGTTAGCAAATATAACATTTCCATGGGTCGTATTCTGCCGCCTTGTTTCATACCTATTGTAAGGACATTGTTTTATATTGAATTCGACTACCAAAGGCTCCACCTACGTGATTAATACTCACGGCTTACAGCAGGTGTGACCGGTCAACAGGGAATGCTTCCTCCTGCTAGGCACCTGATCCCACCTAGGGGTTCGTGTTTATGCCCTCTT